CAGTGGTGTTTACCCTGTGCATTAAAACTTTCCCGTTGTTAAGAACTGGCTATATCTGCACAAGAGCTATCTGCTAAAAAACAGAAGCACCCAGACAATGGTAAAAACGGCAAAGTCCCCGCGTGCAGGCCAGGCAGAGCACATCTATTTGCAACACCAAGGAGAGATGTTGCTTTTATTATAATAGGAGGAAAAAATTGTCAGAATCCATGCCAGAATGGAAGTGAAGATTTTAAATTTTTTTTTAAGGCTGTCTTAACAGCAAATCAAACCTATGGCTGTATACCAGCACTGCCCGGTGACTTCAGACCCAGCCACGCCAAGAGGAGATGGGATGGGTTATTCTTTTGTGAAGGAAGGGTTAAATTCCTCAGTGCAGCGGTGGCTTTGAGCTGGTGATGTCTCTCCTTGAAAGCCCTTGAACCTGGTGAGTCTGGAGGAGACGGGGAGCCCCGCAGCAGCACGGGTAGTCCGTGATCCAAGCGCAGCTTTCCATAGCAGGTCCTCACCTCCGAGGGATGGGGGGTTAGTGGGGAGCACCACCCCCGGCGAGCAGAACCGCTGGCTTTCGCCTGCTCTTCCTTCTGGTAACTTCCTTCTGTCTCAACGGAGTGGTAACGGGGTGGTCATCCCCCCACAGCTCCCACACACACGCACCGGGGTGAGCTGCCCTGCACGCTGCTGCGTGGCGCTCGCCGGGATCAGGGCTCTGCAGGCTGAAGTAATAATGTTTAACAAGAGATGAACTACAGCAGAGCTCGGGATTCTGGCCAGCTTAGCCATCCGTCATTTCGGCGTGAAATCAGTGCTTGATGACCTTACCCATTTTTATATAACCTTGGAAGAAGGTGATGTAAGGGCACCTTGTGAGCTGGGTGCAGCCAGGCAAGACCCCAGCAGAGACTTTGGGATTCCAGCTCCAAATCATCTGGCTCCCTCTTGTGCTCCCCGTGTTTATGGCAGGAGAAGTCAGATGGGACAAAGCCCGGCTGGTGGAACCCACTGGAGGAGGTGGCCCCTGCTCATCTCCTCACGTCCAGCCCCAGAAGCAGATCACATCAGTAACTCTTAGTCAGAGACCTGACCCGATATGCACCATCTCCGTATTCTGGTCCCCTTGAGCTCGCCAGGAAATATTCAAGCTGTTCCAGAGCGTGGCTGGGGAACAGGGTGTGCAGCTCCATATGTGCTCCGCGCGGCCTGCTGCGTACAGCTCGGTGGGGGATGAGTTGTGACTGTCAGCCACAGCTTCCACCTTGGAGAGGATCCACCCTTCTTCCGTGCGACGCGGTCCAAGCGACAGCACTGCCATCTGTGCCTACCGTGCGCAGCATGGGATGTGTCTCCTCCTCCGTGGCGGCAGGAATTTCAGGAGTATGAAATGATTTCACCTGTATATAGATAAGAAAACTTTTGTTTTAGCAGTATTTTATGCAGCTTTTTTTTTTTTTTTTGGGTAAACTACTTTCTGCAGCGGGTGATCCATACTGTTCCTATTACAAAGGTGGTAGCAGTAACGAGTGGGGAAATCCACCTGAAAAATGGCTTTAATGCAACGCTCCAGCAGCAGTGGCTGCTGCCATTAGAGGTAGTATTTCTTCTTAACCGAGTTACTTTTAGGAGATTTCTTTAAAGGACATTAATGGGTATCAGGAGACAAAGGAAAGCTGTGGTAGGTGAAGCAGAAAAAGGGACTTATTTTCCAGCAGATGTTCTGCAGTTCTCTACAGCTAAGGAAAAAGTAAGTACAACCAGACCAGGTTCCGTCAATTCTGAATTGCTGTGCAGTTTTGACTCGATTTTGCTGTATTTTTTTTTTTTTAATTATAATTAAAATTATTCTTTAATTATGTTTTTTCCTCTTAGCCAATTTGTCTGGTTATCGTCAGGCAGCCTGCTGCACAAATCAGGAAACACTCCCATCCTCTAATGGTGGGTGAAAATGGTAGAGTATTTACTATGCTCTTAATTTAAGAGAGAGGGATGGAGAAGGTCTTTTCATCAGAAACTGCAGCAGATTGCAGGGTAAAAGCCCAAAGGACAAGAAATGAGTTATTTTGAATTTAATTGGATAGAAGCCACATAACTCATAAACACCCACCAGCCACACTAAACGTGAGGGAAGAAGCCACCACAGAAATGCTGTGCCATGGAGAAGGAATTTCCCCAGCGTCAGCTTGGCCTTGCTCGACAGCTGCTTTTCTCTTGCACAAGATGTGCAATAGAAGAGGAACGCGTGTGTGTTTGTTTATGGGAGCGTCCGGAGAGCCTCGGCTCCTCCGGATACACCGACTGCTGAGTTCAGCTCCTCTCTCCTGGTGGGAGCACGTCCCCAGCCGACCCCGGCGGGCTGCAGGTACTGACCCACCCACCACCCTGAGCTCACCCTCGGCTGATGACTGTTGTCTGTTTTCATCTGGGGGTTTTATTATTCTGAGTTTCCAGTGTGGCCGGATGAAGACGTAAGCCTAAAAGTTGTCTTAAGGAAAAAAAAAAAAAAAAAAAAAAAGGGGGAAAAATAAGTAAAGTTATTAGCAAATAATTAATTCTTTAAGAAAGACACGTGGCTCCCAAAAGTAGCAAGTCCTTCTTCCTTAAGAAAATGTCACTCTGGCACTGCAGTCTTTCAGGAGACGTGACAGGTCTTTTGTAGTATGTGCTTTTTTCACAAATCCACGGAGAAAGTTTCCGTGCAACTCCAAGGTGGCAGAGGCAGTTTTGATGACAACAATTAAACCTGCAGGAAGGGCTTTATTCCTAATGGAATAACCTCCTTGCTGCAGGAATCGAGAATCGAATACATCTTTTACACTGCATAATTAGATGTGCAGGTACAATGGGGAGGAAAGGCAAGGCTTTGTCCTCCCTTTGCAGCGCCAGAGCAGTGCTTTGTGTTGGTGATGGCAAAAGGACTCCAGTAAATCACTCTTCCTCCATCCACCTCCCCCATCCCCTCCGGTCAACAAGGAGATTGCTTTTGCCTCCAAATTGTATAATATTTTCCTGGCCAGGGATGTCAAATTGCCTCTCGAATCCTCAGGTTTTCAGGTGACAGAAATTGGTCCTTAACCCCCTGACTGTAGTGGGGTGCTGCCAGGAACTGGGCTGATTCTGCCGCTATTTGTCTCCTTCTTTATTATTTATTATTTTTTTAGGCTTTGTCAGTAGGAGTTGTGCCTTCGGTCAAAATTAGGCTTTGTATTTTTATCACGTGAACTGTTATGTATCCCCTTCTGGTGAAGGGCAGCGAGCGTCAGCACAGCAATGAGGACAAATATTTTGTTGAGGCGCCATGAGCAAATTCTCTAGTCAAATTAAAAGTGCAAACCTGATGCTGAGAATACTAAGTCAGCAGCGATGGTTTAGATCCAGGAATAACATCTGATGTGGTTTCCCAGATATTTTCCAATATATACAACTACTAAATGCCTTTGTCAAGTGGAGTTTAATAGATACAGCAGTGCTTTGCTTGCCATAAAAATAACTGTGAGAATGAGAGCTGGCAAGTCTCTTAACAGACCTAATACTGATTTGTTTTGGTGTATTTGTTTAAGTATTCATGGTAATGACAAAATCGGACGTTCTTTTTTGCTAAACATCTATTGTTTCCCATGGAATCTGCATCGTGAAGGAAGGAGCAAATACGTGCTTCACTTCTGATGTTATTCTGCTGAAACGCTGTTTATAGTTTTACAGCGAGCACTAGACTAGTCTATCCTGGTGGATCACAGCTGTTTTTTCCTGGTACAGAAAGCAGGTTCCTCTGTGGGGTTAAATCTTAAGAGTAGTTCAGTCAGTCACAGGCCATACGTGCCGCAGCCTTTCTACTACCACTAGTAAAGCCCCTGTGCTGCCCTGCCCTCGCACAGCTACAAGGAGCCATCGAGGGTGACAAAGGTGAGGTGATTCCGGCCAACGCTGCTGCAAATCCGACGCGAAAACGTAGCCCTGGAAAGCCTGGAGAGTAACAATAGCTCCTCTTTACTAATCCACCCAGCTCCCTGGTTACTAGGCACTCCACAAACACAAAACAACCGACGCGAAGCTCTTTTTGTCTGAAGACATGACATCCTCGGTGCGAGACCGGGGAGAGCAGATGGGAGAGCACCAGGAAACAATGAGAGCGCGCTGGCTGGCGGGTGAGAAAGGCCCCGGCACTCGGCAGCTGGGCGCTGCCAAGGACGTTGTGGCAAAGGGGAGTTTGGGGTGTGCATCAGAAGAGGAGCTGTTACAAGGTTTTATTCAGCTGTGATGTTTTCAAGATTTTGTTTTCGACTGAAAATCGTTAGGTAAAAATGACTTGCTTGCTGGGCAGCGAGAGCCGAATGCCACCTGTACCACCGCTGCAAAGCGCTCTGTTGGCAGACTCGGCCAGTAGAAACCAGGCAGGATCCAAACTAACTGGTTTACCAGTTTAGCCCTAAACATTTATTGAAGTGAATAGGAAATACTATGGGTCAGAAAAAAATGAGGCTCTTTGGAAAAGGGAAGGGAAGACCAATCCGGACACTAGAGCACTAATTCCATTAAAGGATTATTCATAGAGGATTTTCTCTCTTACAAGGTTGAAAACCTTCCCATCTTTGCCGAAGCACTACGGGGAGTACCCAAAGAGCCCAGCACTGGGGGTGCCTGCACTCCACGGGGAGCAAAGTGGGGGGGAATATCCCAGGGCCTGACTGTGGGCACCCACCTTCAGCCCCATCTCCAGCCCCCTTGGTGAACCGGCAACTTGGAAGAGATTAAATACCTAAAAATACTTTTAAACACTTACTACTCCCCGCCTTCCAGTTCAGCAAAATACTTAAGCTCCTCACCTCTGAACTTTGTGCATTTTAATACACAGCATTGGCACTAGTTTAACAACTTTATCTTTCGTTGGTATAATTGCAATGGATAATCAGTCGTGACAAGAAAATGCCTAAAGCAGTTCTTAGGCTTTTAGGTTTGGGCTTCCAACCAAAATTCTGGGGGTTGGTTAAAAGAACACAGACACAATATTTTGCATAACTAATTGCTTTAATGGCATAAAAACTCAAAACTTTTCCGGCGCATAAGACAAAAGAGCTGGTGTTCTGTATGTTTTGACAAAGTATTCTGAACACACTGGTATCACAAAATAACAGTTATTTTCTAAATTAGTTTTATAAAAAGCCTAAATTAGGATGGGCATTTGGACCCTTGTAGCAGATACAGCAGCAGATTTGCATGAACAGAATCTGATTCAAAAGTCTGAATGTCCCAGGATTTTCCCATCAAAACTTTGGATATACTTTCATGTCTAAATAACACGCTGTCAAGGGATGCTGCAGATGCCGTTACAGCTGGAAAAAAGCCCGTTACTGCTCCTATGAAAACAAACTCACTTATTTTCTACTGTCAGGAACTTCCAATGCCATCTTCTAAGGTCTTTCTCAGGACACGACAAGCCTGTAAATTTAATAAGCGTTCTATCCCCTCACGTGTCAAAGCTCTATTTTCTTCATGTACCTCCATGACAAAAACTTCCTTCTGCAGATAAAGGCAACAGAAACAAGCCACCATTCCTGCTTTCAGTGGTCACCTCCTTGCACAAAGAAACAAAACTCAACTTCAACGCAGTATGTCATATCAGGTTGGCTCGCCCAGCTTTGTCAGTCTGACTTCTTATGCTAATGAGATCTCTTCAAAACAATTTTCTCATCATATGGTCCCTGACGGCAAGACAGAATGAGCACACATGCTCCCGAAATGCAGCTAACAAAAGAAAAAAAGGAGGCTGTATCTGGACAGAGGAAGCCTAACCTCTTCGGTTTCTGAGCTCACTAGAGATACAGAGATCATTTGTTTCCTGTTCTGAATTTAATTTGGTATGTGGCGGGGGGGGGAATAGGCTTGCTCACCCTCACGTGCCGACTTCCCAGTCTGTGAGTGGGAGAACCGTGACAGCTCTGCAGTGACACAGAGGTGCACAGGTTGCACCAGTACAGTCTGTATGGGAAGAACAACGCTTAAACGACGTGAGCACTGACTTTTTACCTGGTTTGAAACAGGCTCTGAATCTTACTGCTCACTTCCTTTGTAAAATCAAAAATGTCATAGGAATTTCCTATAACATCAATGTGAGTGTCATAAGGAATGATCAAAACGTGAGGGTAATGGGGCTTTAGACTTTCACAGGCCAATCTGTATCTCTGCTTTTCATCTCTGGTGCGTACCTTAAAGTGGATCCTTTCTTTACGTAAAATGTTATGGAGTTTAGTAGACTGAGTTTCAATTTTCTCTTTGACTCTTAACACCTGTCCAGCATCAGACCTACTTCCAGCATTCTCAATATATACCGTAGTTATATCCCCATCAGTGATACCAGAAATTACAACATCATTTACTGAGAATGCCCTGGGAAAAAAGTACTTCATGTAGTGATATATATCTGTGTCAAGAACAACCGTTTGTTTTTTCCCATCTGCACCATGAACAGAATTACTTGGCTCCGTGGCAAGTCTGTGCTGCTGTAGCCTCCTCCTTGATCTCTGACAGGACTTACTCTCTTCTTTTTTGTCATTCTCTGAAAGGGATTTTGCTTTTAGTAAGAGAAAGTCTCTTAGCGATTTGATTGCTGGAAATGACCCCTGAACAGAAATGTGCCCATTGGATTGCAAAGGACCAAAGCTCAAAGCTGTGCTCTTCTTTTTAAGTTCTTGTATCAGATCTTCCAAAACAAACTGATCTTTGAAAATAGACATGTTGAGGACAGATGTGACAGAGCTGAACACCTAGAATTTTTAATTAGAGAAATTAAGTAACGGTTACCATAGCAATGGAAGTACAACTAGATAAATTATGAACAAGCTTACGTTTTCACAGTAACGGGTTACTTTCAATGGGTAGCATCTGGACAGCCTCTTGTCTTCTAGTCGATGTTCATCCTTCTTTAGAACACTCTCTACAACTAAAGGGAAAGCCAGATTCACTTGTTGAGCAGTACGGTAACGCATCGTCGCCAGTCTGATGGCGCAACACTTCATGGGCGTTCTTCTCTTGATGCCTTCCTTAACAACTTCTCATACATACATACATGCAATTCAATACTCCTGCCTAATATTTTATGTACTAGTCAAAATTGTTCAGAGAGAGACAGAAGCCTGTCTTCCGAGAACACTAATTGGCAGATCTATTCTCGAAGGCCTGACTACAAAAATAGTATCTGTTACATGTGGCATAAATTTATTCCTAAAAACAAATACAACAAACACTGCACGAAGCCTGTTCAGAGTCATGACTTCAATGAACAGAAATAAAATCCTAAAACTTTGACTGATTAAAAGAAAGGGGTTACTATCCCAGTTCTATAAAATCCTAGTGCCAGTAAACAATTTAAAACAATTTGGTTTAGGGTTAATATTCTACAGCTAATTCTTTGAGGGACTGCTCTATTTACTGTAGCACATTGATCTAAATACCTTCTTGATCTTCAAAAGTTACATATGCAACTCCTTTTCTCGTTGTTGGATACACTACTTCTTCCACATCTCCACCATTGTTCTTTGACATTTGGAAATGAATCATCAGGATGTCAGTCATGACATCATTGTGCAGAAGGCCATCTGGAACACCAGCGATGACAACTGTCCTTGCAGATTTAGCAGCTCGTCCTGTTGCCTGTGCAGAGACAGGGCACACTGTAAACGCAAGGAGTACCGGTGGCCTCCAGGAGAGGTTACCCTGATTCACCCTCCCTGCATAAGTGACCCCCCCTTCCTTCTGCACAGACAACACGCACACTGAGTAGGTAATTAAGAAGACTGCTGAATCAGGTTTCAGTGAATGACAGATTCCCTCAGGCACCTTCACATTACTATGCAGTAAAAAATGGCCTGACTCTTAAGTGTAATTTACATCCTCTCAGTATCTTCTTTTCTTAGAGCAGTAAAAATTAGAACCAAATTCAACAGTTTCTCAAATGAAAGGTCCAGTGTCACACTGATAAGGTTGCTTCCTCCAACTCTAGTATTCAAAATTTGAAGGTAATGAAAAATTTTAATTGCATGTACTGTTCAGTAAGGATTGTCTTTTCAGAGTGGAAGGGTCAGATTCAGACTGTCCTTACTTGTTAAATTCATGAGAGCTGGGATCTAGGGTTGTGCCCCGACTCATCTCTCTCCACTTATTAAATGGATAACCTTGTTAAATTGGAAGAACATAATCCCAGTCATCTGAGACTCATGGTGCGTAAAACAACTAACTACACACATGATTTTCATCAGAACCAAACCTCCCAATGCTGCAGACATGAAAACCATCCTAAATGGGATTTGCATCCACATCTTGTTAAGAAGAGAGTATTTTCTTTCCATTCTTATTGCACAGATATAAACAGTAATATTTCACTGGGAATATCACAGCAAAATTACTGTAAATGGTGGAACACTGAGTAAATTTTGTAACAGTTCATTGACTTTTTGGAAGAAAGAAAATAATTCAGTATGTCTGCATGGCAGCGTTCACGGGAACGAACTGTCAATAACTTCAGAGCGACTGTACTTGAGGTCAGTCACTCCATCTAAATTCTTTTAGACTTCTCTTACAAAGTTTCTTCTGGACCTGGGCTGCATAAAATATTAGGGCCAGCATAGCAGTTACAAAGCCTGCAGAATGTGCCGCCGGGGGCGAATTCTTCGCTGACGTGCGTCAGAAGCCTTGCAGACCACCACCACAGTGTTTCTGAAGGGACTGAGGAGACAGATTCAATGAGACTGTGCAACCATGCAAGCTTTTAATTCATAAAGGCATGAGGCCTTCTTTTATCACCCGTCAGATGTAAAGAGCCAGGAGTTTTAACTATATTAGGCAATTATTTTGGTGGTAATGTTCGTGCGAAAGCAAGTTTCTGCACTAATGAGACAACATGAAGAGAATATAAACAGGGTGCTTCCGAGATTGACAGCGCTTTATGCAGGGTTTTCTCACGCTTCACACAGCCGACGCAGCCCGTGCATTCGGCTGCCAGACAGCATCTCGCACCTTGACAGCTGGTATTTTGGAGCAACACTCATGCCTACTCTTGGGATCGGGTATGAAGATTTAACCACGGAGTTCTCTGTTATTAAAAAACTGAAGTGTTAGCACTAGCGAGAGGGAAATCAGACCTGCAGCAAGCACTAACTGGAGGGCCAGGGCAGCAAGCTGTGGCAGACGTTGCTGCTGCCTGAGCACCGCTATTTTTCCGTGCGAGGGCCGGCCACAATTCACAGGTTTCCTTCTGCTTTTCAACCCTCGGAGGTTTTTCACCAGCGGTGAAGGAGAAGGCCGCGCTCTCCACCCGGCCCGGCGGGACCAACCCTCAGGCCCGGGGAGCGGCGATGTGAGCGGGGCTCCGGAGGCGGGAAAGCCCAGGCCCTCCCGCGGCCTCACGGCAGCCCGTCCCCGAAACCTCCCGGCGGACACCGGCCCTTCCCCTCGAAGGGAAGAGGGATGGCGACGCTTCCCCTCACAGCCCTTCCCTACCCCCCCCCGCTCCCGCCGCAGGAACTTGCCATGGCCGCCGCTCCGCCGAGGTGGGGCTCCCGCCGGCGGCCGCGGCTGTGGGGAGCGGCTGCCGCCCCGCCGCCGTCCCTGAGGCAGCGGGAAAGCTCGGCCCACCCCGGCCTGGAAACGGAAAGCGAAACGGCGGGCCCAGCGTTCCGGCTGCCCGAGTTCTCCGCCTCCAAGAAGCCATGCCCCCATTTTCACTAAAATCGGGCCGTGTTTGGTCCGGCTAGTCGTTACCCCACCGCCGCCCCGCTCAGCCGAGGACCCCCCCCCCCCCCCCCCCCCCCCGCCAAGGGCTTGCGCGGGCACCAAAAAAGAGTCACAGCCCTTCCTCAAACTTCCAAAGATAACTTCACTAAGGTAGAAAAAAAAAGATACTGCCATTTAAAGAAACGTCACCCAAATTCTGTATTGCTTTTCATCTTGAAAACAGTTTTCCAGCCGTTATGTGGCACCATTATTGCTTTAAAATTTAAACAGTATAATCAATTCATCCGAGAGAAAAGCGGGCATTTGCAAATACTGATTGTCTTAAAATGTTGCTTTAAATCTCATTTTGTTTTTTTTTGTACTTAAAACCGGTAGTTTCTCACTACTCCCAGACACTGGGGTACCTTACGAGAATTTTAAACTTTTTTAAGGATTTACTTCTCATCATTTTTAAGTGAAGTACGGTTAAAATTCATGACATTTTTTACCTTCATTGGATTTTTCCCCCAGTTTCTTTTCAAGGCATCTGACCTTACCAACATTTTAAGACTGCTACATGGAAAAGTACGCAATCGCCATAAATACTCCAGTACTATTAGTTTTTTGTTTATATATTACTATGTCATAATTGTCAGGTAATCAATCCATGCCTTTGCGTGCACTAAACAGTAAGAGGTGCTACAGTCACACGTATCTCTCCCAACAGTAAATTCAAAATCAACTGTGCTGCTAGCAGCTTTTAGTTTCCCATATTCAACTGTACCTATTCCCTACTAACAGTTTCTCTATAATAATACCTGAGATACATGTTTAGTGCTCTTCTCGCACTAGTTTAGTGCATTGTCATTTTCCTGAACACTGAGATGTCAAATACTATGAAAATCAATTACCTTTAATGTTAGACCCCTGCTACTTTGAAGTTAAGATTATTGATGACAAACTATTTCAGCCCCCAACGGTAGCAAATAGAAAAGACAACAGCAGAAACGGAAAAACATTCCTCTAAGTCCTCTGAATTTGCACTTCCATTTTATTTCAAAGATCTTTTAGAATGAGAACTGGAAGTATGAACTGGAAAAAAAAAGGGGACATTATACACTGAAAATTTAATTTGCCCTAAACTCTATGCCCTTTCCAACTGACTGTTCCCTACTTACCCTCCCAGGGCCAGCAGCCTGGCCAGTCACACGTATCAAAACGGACACAGCGTTCACCATCAGATTCCTTCCCCAGCATTGTCACAAAACAATCCGTTTTAGACAAAGAATCACCTCGATTCCTAACTGTAATTTTTAAAGTAAGCAAAATCATGAATAAAAATGAGGAAAAATGTAATTGTAAAACAAATATTAAAACCAAACAAAAAACTAGGCGAGTAACTTATCAGAAGTTCAGCAGAATTTGCATCAGATCCTTGGAGAATTAACAGCATTTTGACAGCTAAAAGCACTATTACTGCTATGGCATTTCTTAAAAGGTGCAATTTCTTGAGTAAATCGGTGGTGGTTTTGCACTCTTCCTATTTAAATGTTATCACTAATTCAATAATGCAGATTTTATAAAACTACAGGATAACTGCTTTCAGGTATGTGAGTTATGGTGGCACGCAGCAACCTCAGGAGGAATGGTGTTCTGTCAGAGCTACCTTCTGAAGCTATGGCACTTTAAAAAAGCAGGTCTGTGAAGGCACTTTTGATTGGCATTACCTATGGCTTTCGTAACCAAAATGTGCTAAGGAATAGACTTATCCCACTTTGGAGTATATGTGACCTATCTAAAATTTGCAAGATACAAATTTGCAGAAAGCAATCTTTATTGATAAAGTTTCAAGTGCTGGTAAAAGCTTTTCTGTGACTAATCAGGAGCCTCTGGAACACCAAACACTGAGTTTTACTGAATTTCTATGCAAAGTCTGTGCCATTACACAAATCAGAAAGACAGGTAGTTCCTCTTTTTCAAGTATAAATTTCCAAATATTAAAGCATGATGTCTGCCTAACTTCCTATGCCTCTGATAAAGCAAAAACTCGAAACTTCAGGAGTTCAATCTACAGTTTCCTATGTGGCATTAAATATCCTCCTCAAAACAAACCCATGTTACTCCTTTTGACACATATTTGATTTTCTCTATTTCCCCACCACTATTACTAGGCTTCTGAAAGTGAATTTCAATCATGTCCTGTACACTTTCTTCATCATCTTCCATCTCTTGAGTTCCTTTCAACAGAATGGTCTTCTTAGAAATCCCACAATAGAGCTATTAAGGAAAGAAAAACAAACTTGGATTACACATCAGCTGTTGCATGTATGTCTAAAGGAACTGACAGATACTGGAAATAAACCTATCCTTGATCAGATATTGCTAGGATCTTTGATGACATTTTAAGACTTTGGACAGTATGCTATATTTCTGTCACTGAAAACAGCAGTTTTTCTGAACTCTACTATATACTACCGAGTTCAATAGCAATGCCTAGCCTCCTTAACTGGCATGTCCTGCACTCCTTAATGCACACACACACAGTGGATTTGGGGATCTCTGATGACTCTAGACAGGATCATTCCATAAAAATCCATGCCAATACATGATACACACCTGCAAATATGCTGTTGTATCTCATAAGTGCACACACTCTACTCAATGGCTTTAATTATGAAGGCCTGATTATATACACAATACCGACTTGATTACAATCTATTCATACAAAGTAGAAGACAATTTCAGTGAGAATATGATGAGCAAGCAGGCTAGTGTTACAGGAAAAAAAGTCATTATTTGGGCTGAATGAATGAAAAAAATGAATGAGCATATGTTTCATAGAACAACAAGGGTCTTTGCTGAGACTGTCAACAAGGCCTCTCATTAGGGATGAGTATGACAGTGCTTTGTGACTCGGAAAAACGTTGTGTCTACTATTAACCTACTTCACAAACAATTCAGTATCTGCCTCCTGTCTAGCACAGACATTATGGCAAGTAATGATATAATTTGATCAAGTAAAGACATGCACACCCTGTTAAAATAAATTATAGCTTTCACACTGCGAAACCTAAGATTATCAGCAAAGCAGCATATTGCAGACTCAGACTTGCTATTAAGTTTCACAAAGTGCATGACACAAAAGCTTTTGCAGTCCTCAGAACTGAAAATTCTGCCTATATCTCTCATTTCCCACATATCTGTTATATTTAGGGATTATCTTTTACCTGAAACTTTTCCAAGTGTGCACTGGTGTTTGGGGACACAGAAAGCCTATAGCACCTTCCATTTACAAAGAAAGGATATTTAGTACATCTCGCAAAGCTGTTAGCTGCTGTAATGGAGAATGAGAAAAAGAGGAGTAAGAGTAATATAATCTAAAAGGCATTGTGTAAGCACATCAAAGTACAGACGTATATGTATTCAGAAACTAATCTACACTTGTATATTTTTCATATGCATTTTGAAAAAAAGTTTATTTGGCATTTCCAAAAAAGCAAAATCATCAAGTACCCACAAAACCTTCTGAAATAAATCTGAAGCAGCTGCTCTAAATGGATGTGGCTCCACTGATCTTCACAGAATTTCATACAGTTGAGCAATCTGAATGCCTGTCCAACTTCATTGTCATGAAACAAGAGCCAAAATCAAACACATTTTCCTAATTTTCTTTTTGCAATCTAAGTGTCTAGCAATGCAAAGAAAAAACAGGTTTTTGACAAAGTTAAGAAAGAAAGAAAAGCTCACAAACTGCTATCAGGTCATGTTTGATCAAAAAGGAATATGATGAAATACGGCTTTATTTATGGGGGTGTGGGTGAACCCACATCTTTTCCTGATCTACTTACCTCTCCATGGGAAGAATTTGCTACACTCAGTGGTTAACTTTACACAGAATGTAATATGGAACGTAACGTAACACAGAATGGACAGTATGGCCTGTACATCTAGCTAACAAAATATTAATACCGTACCTCCAGGTGTGAGGAATGTAATAACAGCTGTTCTAGACTGTTTGTCATAGCTCACATTTTGTATTTCTCCTCCTCCTCCCTGTTCAGATTTGTAGAAATTCAGCTCTAATTTGTCTCTCATCCAGTCTTCAGGAATGGATAGCTCAGGTACTTCTGAAACGTTGATCTTCTTTCCAGAAATAGTGACATGGAGCTAAAAAATAAATTTTCTGTGCACTTTGTGACTGAAAACACCCCAAAAAAAACGAAAAGCTTTTTAAGTACTGAAAGTTCGTATCTTTATAGTTTCACATGACAGTTGATTACCTCAAATTTGATTCCCATTTCAAGTGTAGGAGGCTTCACTCTCACATCTACTGTTTTGTTGTCCAGGTTCACAGTATGCTTACCCATTTTTACCAGTCTCTGGGCAACTAAGGAAAATCACAAGTTTTCCGGTATGAAAAGCCTTGTTAATCATTATAAGCCCAAAACTATTCCACATTCTCTTAAGCAAAACCTCCCTTTGCATCAATAAAGGAAAAATAAGTAACAGTTAGGCAACCAGATCCCACTATCCATGTCTTCAGGCATGTCTATTTCCACAAAATCTCACTGGTTATAGGCAACAGGTAAAACATTATTCTGTCTTTAGAGTAGTACAGAATAGTGGAATCTTTATGCTGTCAAAAGATGCTCTCACTGTATCAAATATTAACACCAGACTTCTCATATTTCATTCAAAATATCCTTGGATGAAAATTACCGCATCACTACCAGGTGCAGAGAATGCCTATTAGCAATGTTAAACTTCAGCTGAAAGAAATGAATCGGACATTGGCTTTGTATCTGGAATACAGGTGGGTAACTGAGTTACCCACCAGGCATGCCCAGCCGGCTCAGAGGGAAGCAGGCAAGTTACAGACTGCACCAGCTCACTCTCATCTCAGATCTACCCATCATCTGACACGTACCCTTAACCAACATAACTGCTGTCAGCACAAGGTCCTGCCCAGAGTAAAGGAAATAATCAAATTCTGCTGTCAAAACATTTTGAATCATTCTTGACAATACTCTGTGAGGTAGAAACATATTCCCAATTTCAAACACAAAGCATTGTTTGTATTAGCTGAGAGCAGAAATCTGGTAATTCAACAAAAACATGCAGAGTGCTTGCAAAAATTTTATTCTACTGGTTGGTATCGTAACAGTGAAAGGTTCTCTATTCTTTCTTTGGCTGCTGTTGATTTTTTTTTCCAAAACATTTATGTAAAGCTTTTCCCTTTGGCAATGAAATACATCAGAGACACTAATTTTATACTTAAAATATGCATCATACCTTCTTCATCTTCAAAAGTAAGCAGTGCCTGGTTTTGATTCAGTCTGAATGGGATTTTTGTAGTGACACCAAAAACACAGTGAGTATTCATATCTGGATAATCATCCTTCGTGTCTTCCATGTGAGCGAACTTCAATTTCATTTCTGCTACCTTTTTTTTAATCTAATATTGTGGAAACATGACAGGAAAAAAAATATTTTCTGTAATTTATTGCAGAACAGAAAAATGAAAGGTAGTCTTTCACTGAAGTGCTATGTGTATTTGGGGTTCGTAAAGTTTAACAGTCAAGCAGTTTGAAGTGTTGGCTGGTAAACCAGGTATAACTCTACTAACTAGACTGACTAGTTGTACTTGGCTATTCCTGGGATTTTTTTCAATTAGGTGTTTTGGTTTTTTTCTCCCCTTTGATTAACTTTGAAGTTAAACTTGACCTTACACAGTAAAAATTCAATTGAAGCCCACAGGAACTTCCACCTGCAGAAGTAAAATACTTCTGGTATCTAAAATTTGCAAAACGCAACTATCAGAGTCACTTGTGTTGCCATTTATTTTTGCCTAATTGCATCACTGCTCTACAGCAATGGGAAGTCTGCTAATAAACAGCTGTTATCCAAGTATTTTATAACTAGGATATATTAAAACTATTAATGAAAATGCTGGTGAGGAAAGGCTGCTTTGATAGACTTGAGGGAGTTTCAGATAACTCGTTTTTCCCCTTTACGTAACTACTTCAAAATAAAACCATGTGTAGAAGAAAAATACTGTGTCAAGATAAAATAACCAGAGTAATTAAAGCATTCCCACCACCCATCTTGGAAACTAGCATCATATCTATGAGCCCGCTTTCCTTCCGTGCCCTCTACTGACAATGAAAAGAGAGTCACTCTTCCTAAAGACAATTCAGACACCGGGTGTAGGCCCCTGTCCACACGGAATCTCCTAAAGGAGCCTTGCCCTGTCCAGTGACTCCATAGGAAATTTAGGAGGCTGGACTTAATCGACACCTCCTAAACTTAGAAATGCAATTTAAAAACCTAAAGCTAGTATTGTAATATTGTTAACATTAAACAAGGTAACACTTGGATAGAGTTTCAATCTCTGTGTAAAAAAAAAATAATCACAGTTTTCATTTTATTGTAAATTCCCCAAAATATTTGGTTTTGTTCCAATTCGGAATGAAAACAGGTTTTTAAAAGCTGAAATTTCCACCAGAGAAGTTACAATTTCTGAACACCTCAGAATCTGCAGCAGTTTCATAAAAAGGCACTTTGGACCCTGAGTTTAAACCTATTCAAGATCACTAATATTTACCTGGCTGCAAACTGAGTTATTTCTGAGTTGGAGTAACATGAGACAGACTATAATAAAGTCAAGGTCAATACAGGCTAAAATAAATGCTACATTTGCCATTTAATGGACTTATTCCCTTTCTTCCATCCTCTTACCCAAGAAACATAAAATTAGAATACTTGAAAATTAATAATACTGTATTTTTTATTCCTGTGTGTCTTCCACTTAATAATTTTCTACTTATCTTCATTCCTCTCATGTTTTCAGTATCTCACATAGTTGTATTTATTTCCATATCCTTAGCCTGCTTCACATTATCTTGCCAGGTAAAATAAGAAAATAAAATTTCAAGCTGTTTTTTATATTGAAATCAGTAGAAGTTCAAGTACTGAACAACTGATCCCAACGGTTGAGAACTGACAACATAAAAGTGTGCCCTTCCAAAAGACAAACTGTAAAGTATTTTAAACTTTACCTGACCATCCCACAAATGCACTGAACTACATTCTGCAAGGTCTTCTTTGAGCTTTTCAATTTCTCTCCTCAGTTCAGTGTTTTCTTGGTTTAGTACACAGAGTTCTCTCTACAGCCCAAAAAGTTTTAAAAGCAAAGTTAAACACACAGAAGACAAAAACATATTTCAGCATTAGAAACTATTTCTAATTAGACACTACTTCTCTGATTTCTAGACATTAGAAACTGTTTCAACTTCCAATTATTCTACAAGACAGCCATGGATGATACATTTTTCGCATAGCTTTAACTATCGCCAAGGTAAATTCACTCACCAAGGAGCAATTTCAGCCAAAGTAAATTACAGTAAGAGGGTTTTGAAAAAAAAACATGTTTCCAAGCACATACAGTGTACCATAAATTGCACAGCTCTTTCCATTATTATGTCAGTTCCTTATACATGCAAGGTCAGAGCCTATGTCAACACACAAACTTTTTATTTTTTGTAGCACCAGTGATCTCAGTAACTGTTACTCCCTCTTCTGAAAAGTTTACCAGGTGAGGACAGTTTCTGACACACTGCTCCTCTTCCCTCTCTATACTTCTTCAGCAAGGAAGAGGGAACACCTCTTCTGCCTCCTATCTGCTACATACTTCCTCCACACTAATGAATCCTAAGTGGGCATAAAGCCCATGTAACTAAATCCAACATTTCCTGGACAGGGAACACAACAGAATGAGAAGGAAACACAGCAGATGTAGTCAGCTCCAGCCATCCACAATTAGATGATGGCTCCTTTAAAGTCATTAACCGCTTGAGACATTTAGACCAGTTCCCATCAGCTGAAGACAATGTAAAACAAAGAGCCAGATTACAATAATGACCTCTTCTGGGTATAAAATCCAAACATTTATTACTGGAGAACCAAAACCAGCTTTCGGAAAATCTCATGCCAACCTGAATGTACTTAACCTATTCATTATATTTTAATAGCTTGTAATATTGAAGCCATAATTTCTCAACAGTGATTTACAAGCCAAACCAAACTTCACTGAAACCACCTCCTGGACAGTCTATGGAAACTTATTACTGTACCAATGACTGCACACGGCACACTGAGGTAATGAACAAACTAGTTCTAGAACCAATTAGTTCTAGAAAGAAGAGCCCCCTTCAAACAGGTTCTGTTTCCCAGCTCATTGTCACTTAAATGCTAATCCCTTGGGTGCTGTAGCATCTTATAAAATGGGCTGGGAGTTGACAAAGCAGTGGGATCAACCCATTCAATTTTATCTGCATCACACAAAACTGATACTCAGCTGTTAGTGGAGAATCTTGGAAGAAGAAGACTGATTTTGTCAGTCTTCATCTTCTACACAGTTTTCTGGTCTCTGTTTTGCCTTCACTCTGTCAACGCTGCCGTAAGACTTATTTTATTGAACTGGTTCCTAACCTGCCAGTGAAAAACTATGCATAGAACATTCTAGTCATGCAGTCTGCAAACCGGTCAAGAATGTTTCCTGAAAAGGAAATACTACCCTTATTTTCTCTAATCAACACCTCCTTCACAACTCTGCAAATACTAACAGCTATGAGTAACTCAACTCCATACCTCACGGGTGTCTCTAGACATAATAATGTCCTTATGCCGTTTCTCTTGAAAGTCCTTTAGCTTTAACAGCTCATTCTCTGCTTTAACATACTCTTCATCGGCACTGAATTTACAGAGAAGAAGGTCAGCTTTTGTTTTTTCAGCTTTTTCAACTCTTTCCTGGATAGCAAAAACAAAAAGATTTATTTTTTTTTTCTTCCACAGGAACAAACAAAACCTTGAGTAAGCACTTTATATTTATTTATTTATTTTTAACACTTTGGATAAATATTTTTCTTAGACTTACAAGCGTAGTTATGACTGAGATCAACACAAACATCCACCATTGAACAATAGAGAATAAGTTAAGCAGACATGTTGTAATTGGGGGAGAGCTGATTTGGTTCTAGAAGGATGGAGTAAGGGTCTTGTAAGTATCTTTCAGCTAATTTCCACAATTCTGTGTGCTTTACAGAACTTGCCTTCCATTTCTTCAGTTCTTCTTTAAGTCCTTCCATTTCATCTTTCGATGTGTCAAAAGGGTCAGGGTTTGTCACAACCTGGAGAGAAAAGAAGAGGACACACAGGTTTTCCCCTCCATTCAGCAATAACTGAGACACACCAAACAATTGAAATGAATATTCAAAATAAAATTTAAAAACTCCTCTGCACTCGGATGAAGCATTTTGCCATGGAAGTTTTCAATGTATGTCCATTAAAGAAAGTCCAGTGTATTTTGCTTGTGTGCCCATTTGCTGTTTTCCTCCAATTATGCAGGCAAGATATGTGGTGAGTCAAAACATTCTGACAGACCGATTGTATTTTGTAGTTAAAACTTCCTAAAATCTACATGCCAGAGGATAGCATATACCACATAAATTTTTAAAAATGCATTCAGACACTTCGGCCAAATCACTGAACTATTTTAATGGCTGGGCAGGACAAAAAGCTAAGAAAATGGGTCCTGGCCAGTAATCATTATTTGCTAACTATCTAACTGAAAATATTCACAAGCTAATATTTTGATAAATAATAAAAGCAAGTTGTCTCTATGTTTTTCCACAGGAAACTAAGCCCCTCAGACCCACAGATGTTTACCTATATGCTTTCTCAGCAGTTCTTCTAAGACAATGTATAAAGAATATAGAGGTCTAATGAGAAAAAAATTTCAAAACGGAATGCTTTCGAGCTCAAGGAGATTGGACAATGAAAGGTAACATCAAGCAGGAGGAAGATGATAAAATAAACATTTCAGAATTAAAGTACTTCAGGGAAGAAATTCACAAGCATGGGAAAACTACAACTGGATAAAGCCTAAGATGAGCGAAAATCTTCTCTGCTCTGTTTTGTTTCTATGGCTGCAATATTCTGCACAAAAGGAAAAAAAAAAAAAAAACAACAACAAAGAAACAATCCCTCCCTTCTATTTAAGATTACATAAAACTTGAATGTGAACCATGAAATTTAGCCATGGAAAAGGTCTGAATTAGATAATCTTGTCAATTCTCTTGGTAATGCTGGGTATTTCCTAAAAAAAAAAAAAAAACCAACTAATTTTTTCCACTACTTTGTACAGTTTCAAATGCCTATTAAGCAACAGGGAAATCCCCATCTGCGTATAACTTCAAACCAGAAAAAAAAAAGTCCTTTGCTCAAGGGATTGAGTGCAGGAAAGTAAAAGGATGCACGTGCTATAGCTGGAAGCTGATAAGAAAGGATGGCTGATTTTTACTGAAAAATGGCCTAAGACAACAGTTTTCAACCTGAAAGAAGGTAAAAATAAAAAGGCAAGAACAAAAAATCCCAGGGGAAGTCCCATCCAGAGTACCTGCTGCACTGCAGGAACTGAACCAAGGGAGGCACCAGGAAAAAGGAAATTGCCCTAAGAAACCTCTAGAGAGACAGATGAGCAAGCGAGGTAGGACAGGAAAATTCTCTGTAATACAGAGAATACATTACATAATCTGTAATGCAGGTGCTTTGGAATGGGACTCTCCCTATGGAAACAGGAGGCAGGAATAAGAAATGTCCAAAGTATTAAAGGATGGAAGAAGGTAAGACAAAAAGTTTCAGAAGCAACTGTCCTAGCAGTCCAAGCACAAAACTTCATTCAGAGATACTACTGTCAAACACAGATCTCTTTCCAGGCAGCACATCAGGAAATACTTACAAAACCATCATCTTTTAAAGATAGAGGGGGACTTGTGCAATCCATTGAAACCTGAGGGAACAGGGAAAAAAAAATGCAACATTGTGTATATTGGCTTTTTTTTTGCAGCAGAATAGAATACCAAAAAGGAATACCAGAAGCAGTGTTGAGCTAAAAGGATTTTTAAACGTAAATGTTGTATGATTTTATAGGTAAAAGTGATATATATTGGATATCTGAAGCCTCCCTCCTTACCAAGCATAAAAACCAGAGACATATGTAAGGAATTCTGCATTGCACAACTTTTCTGTCCTGAAACTTACGAACTTACATTTATGCTACTTTTGTACTGTTACACACATGCTTAACATTTTGTATGCTCTTTGCTTAAGAGATATAACCCTTAAATCTCTTTTACACAAATGAAAACACTTCCTTTACACAGCAGGCAATGTAAAATCTGGAATCTGTTGCCACAACATTTCACGAAGGCAGAAAAAAACGGAATTTAGGCAAGTTCATGGGCCGCTGAAACAGATGCGAAGGCGCAGAGCTTCCCAAGCAAATCTAGCTTGTGTATGCCAGGGCAGCCCAAGGGCTTCATTATACACTCTCTAAGCAGTGTCATCTAACAACTGTTGAAACCCCAGTAGCAGGCAGCCCAGCACTTTGACCTGGTTGGACAATTCTGCTGCTCTCACATGGAAACTCTGAGCTTGGTTTTTACCCAACACCATCGTTAACCTGTCGCATTCAACAACGAGGCTTGAAATTGAGGCCACCTTTGGTTAATGAGCCAGGAATCCCTTTCTGGTTTGGGTTAAGTAACCAAAAATTTACTGACTTCTGCACCGATTCTTGACTGAGGAAAGCGAAACTGGCATAACTGAAAAACATCCTCACTTGGCTTCTCCACGGGAGAACCTGTGCCGCCTGTGCCGCCATGCTTTCTCTTGGGGCCTGGGGGACCGAAAAGGCAGCTTATGGCCGAGCTCGAAGCTCCAACCGGGCTCGAAGCCTCCCCGGGGGAGACCAGGGAGCTCGTCCCTGCCACCCTCTCCCGTGCGGGGAGGCCTCTCCCAGCCCGGGGCCGCGGGGAAGGGCCTCACCGAGCAACCCGAGGCTCACTGCCCCGGCGAGGCTTCGCACCGGCGGACAGCGGGCGGGAGACAGGGGCTGGGGGGGGGGGGGGGGGGGCGCGGCAAAACCCGGGGGCTGACCCAACTTACAGCAGCCGTGGGTCCCAGCGGAGGCAGCCTGCCGCTCCGCGACCCGCATTCCCCGCGCGGTGAACAGCTCCTGCGCCGCAGCCCCCTCAGCCAGGAACCGGGCTCCCCTCAGCAAGGAGCCGCGCTCCCCTCAGCTCGAACCCGCGCTCCCCTCAGCAAGGAGCCGCGCTCCCCTCAGCAAGGAGCCGGGCTCCCCACAACCCCTCCGCTCCCTGCCGACACACTTCCCCGGCGCCTCCCGCTTTCGCTTTCGCTTTCCCGCCGGTGGAAGAGGGGGCTCCCCACCACCACACACACACACGGTTCTGTCACACACACACACACACACACACACACGGTCCTGTCACACTTACGGGACAGCGGCGGGGACGCCGCTCCTCTTCCTCGAAATGACGCGGAGGAAGGTGGCGTCGCCCTCCGCCGCCTCCTCCCCGCGGCGGCGAGGCGGCCTCCCGCTTCCCCTCACCCCTGGAGGGGCACGGGCCGGGCGGCACCACCCCTCAGCTAACGGGGCCTCGGCTGCGGCCCTGGGAGATACAGCCCGTGGGCAGCACCCTCGCGTGGGGTCCTAGCGAAAATGGGGAAAATCCCATAAAAAAAAAAAAAAAAAAGTGGGGAACGGGGTTGGCTGGGAAAGGCCGCCCGTTGCTGCGCCTTCAGGGAGGGCACGGAGACCTCGGATCAGTCATCATCTCAGCTCCATTTTGCCTTCACTTGGCTGGAAGCTTCTGGTTTGGCCCCCGGATTTTTCAGTGAAGTGACTAAGACTTGGCATCCTCAAGCTAATTCTGGAGAATTTGTTTTATTTATTTGTTTGTTTGTTTTAGACCACATTTCTCTGGGTTTATGCGTTTGCGTTATAAGGAATAGGTCTTCCTTCTTTGCCGGGCTATGGCAAAAGTCATGGAACAGAGACAGAAAGACCTTTTGCTGATGGAGATGCCAAAATCCAAAAATTTCTGGAAAAACTCTGGAGAACCAAGTGGCAGGCGGCGGCCATGCAGCCCTTTCCCTGGGACCACCACCTCGGAGGGAGCCTACCGTCTTGGGTCAGGGGGCTGGCGGCCATCTCTCGCCAAGCAGAGGGCTTCATCCTCCTTCCAAGAATAGTATAGTTGATTTATAAACCCCTCAGAGCATTGATTGATAGAAGTGATCCATGGCAGATGCACCTAGAAAGTCATTGATGGGCAGCCTATAGGCAACGCCAACTTCATTCCGCAATTAAGCGTTTAAGCTGAGTTTTTTTCAAGCCCTTTGGCTGACCAGAGTGTGTGCTTGGTGAGGTGGACTGGAGCACTGATCTGACAATTACCTCCTGTTCCCCCTTCACCAAAAAGCCCCATCTTTGGCCAGATCAGTTCCCAGATCTGTGACTACAACAGCTAGTTCCAGCACAGAGAAAGAAGGGGAGGAGAGCTTTAGCATGCGAGGCAGCTTAGAGAAGTCATGAAATGCAAGCTGGTGTGAAGTGACTTATGGTTGCAAACATTTGCTGTGTCAGCCAGTGGGCAACCATTTTCTAAAGAGATTCCAGGGAAGAGCTGCTTCAGGGAAAAAACTGCTTTGATTTCTGTGATGATCAGTTTGAGGAAGAGAAAGCACTGGCTCCTCATTGAAGGGGAGGGTAAAAGGCTTTGGTCACTTAAATGATCCTTCTTCATGTAGATAACTAAAGGAAAGATTCTTATGGACGCTGAGAGATCTGGTATGACTCACTTCGTCGTGCAGATCATGTTGCTGGGGGAGACTGGACTTCTCATGATGGGAGATGTCTGGTGACAGGTACAAAGGTTGTGTGCTTCAGCATGGGCACGTGAAAGGAAAATACCACGCACATCTTTCACTAATAGCTCTTAGATTCAGAAGCATACAACACATCCGAGATCGTAGCCAAGCAATTGGACAAAGCTGATTGAATTCAAGACTTACTATCTATTTAGATACTCGTAATATATGCATTGCAGTCATGAACAAAATTTGGGCAATGTCTATATCCTAGGCCAAGAAAAAAAGGAAAGTGTAATCCTTTCAGGTTTCCTTTAAAACTAAACTGACTAATGTTTTAAATATTACCTTCAAAATTGCAAACAGACTTGTATTCATTGGCCAAAGTATTTTCTATAGTCAGCAGTCAATCAGCGTTGACTGTTAAAGAAATTAATCCTCGAAAACTCAAAATATGCCAAATAGTTGGAGAAAGAGTAGAAGCTGACTGTCACTTAGCGGATGTGGACTTCTACTTTCAGAGAAAAGGAGGAGGAGCTGTATAGCAGCAAAGCATTGCAGTGAAATCGGTTGGGCTCTGCGTGCACACTTGAGGAGGCCTGTGCAAGATCAGCCAGATCAAGGTTTTCAGAGCTTTTTCTTTCATTGGCTATACAAAGAGAATCTTGGATTACATCCTGCTTGGATAGCAATCACCTGGTGCTACTGAATTCAGTGGTTGTTTTACCCATGGGATAATCATTGTGAAAGTTTCAAATGTCCTTATCTGTTTTTTAAGATAAGTAGATGAAACTATGACCCTGTGTTCATGATTTTTTTATTATTGTTTTCGGCCCTGACAATGGATAACTATGTTTACTATTGCTTTATAAACACAAAGTTGGTTACTAATGAGTAAAAGGGAGAGGTTTAGCTGGAGTAGCCAGGGAGGAGGAGGTGATTATGTTATGACCTAAGTACATCAGATTTCAGATTTAAATGTCAGAGTGGCAGGCTGCTCTCCAGTAACCACGATCACATTGGGAAGTCACTGCTGATCTGGGAAAGTCTTATTTCTCTAAACTCCAGGGAATGCAGCAACCCCAATCTGTTTACATGGCCTGCTTTGGGATTTGAGCTGAACAGTGTGTTTGTGCTTGTGCTTGTTTAGTGAAGGGAATTTATTGGAGATCCTGAACTGGGCCAAATTCCTTAACTGAAATAGAGTTGACTTAGAGTTGATCTGTTAATTGATTTCTATGTGTTGTGAATTTATAGTGTTAACCACGTATGAATCAGAGTAAAGGGAAAAACATTGATTTAATAACTGAAGAGTCTAGCTAAAGGGGAAAATCAAGGGGTAAAATATAGCATAGAAGCTTTAAAACTCTCAGGAGTTCTCTGAGTGCTCTGCACTGATACCAAACTTGTTCTTCAGGAGTCTGAAAAACTCTTGGTGAGCCTAGAAATTTGAACTGGAACCTTCAAAAGAAAACCATGACCCTTCTGGCAGCATAGGATTAGGACTCATCTGCAGCAGGAAATACTCTGATTAAGCTGGAAGAAGGTTTACAGCCATAAGCTTACATTTTATTGGTACCAAACCAATTTGACCATACCTCAGCTTCTGGACAGTAACTGCTAAGAATCTCATGGCATTACCTTCAGAGGGAGAGTATTTTCATAGAATCCCAGACTGGTTTGGGTGGGAAGGGAGCTGAAAGCACCCCCCAGTGGCACCCCCTTCCCCAGGCAGGGCCCCCTTCCCCCAGCCCAGGGGGCTCCCAGCCCCGTCCAACCTGGCCTTGAACCCTTCCAGGGAGGGGGCACCCACAGCTGCTCTGGGCACCCTGGGCCAGCGCCTCCCCCCACACACAGGGAAGGATTTCTGCCTCAGAGCTCACCTAAATCTGCCCTTTTTCGGTGCAAAACCGTCCCCCCTCGTCCCATCCCCACCCCCTGACCCAGAGTCCCCCCCCACCTCTCCTGCCCCCCCTTTAAGCCCTGGGAGGCCGCTCGAAGGGCTCCCCAGAGCCTTCTCTTCTCCAGGCTGAACCCCCCCAACTCTCTCAGCCCGGCCCCCCAGGGGAGCTGCTCCAGCCCCCCCAGCATCTCCGTGGCCTCCTCTGGCCCCGCTCGAGCAGCTCTGGGTCCTTCTGCTGTTGGGGGCCCCCGAGCTGGATGCAGTACAGCAGGTTTTTGGGGGGGGTTTTGTTTTTTTTTAAAGTTAGAACAGATCCAAATAAAGAAGTAAATGGAATTTAGGTGCTTAGATTATAACTGCCATAATGAAAACCCTGCTCAGTGCCTGTCTGATCCTTGAGGTACCCCAGCTACAAAGCAGCCTTGTTCTCCAGACAGGTCTAATAGTAGCCTGATGTTGGCATCTCTGAGTGCTTTACCTTGATAATGCTTAAAGCCACATTCAACCACAGAGGTGTTCTTATGGGATGTATGGTACTGTCACACACTCAGACAGAATGGTGTTCCAGTTTATTTTGTGCTTTCTTTCAGAACCTTACCAACAGAGGCGAGTGATGCCTTCCCTGCTTGCCTTCAAGACTTGCAGAGTCCGTAAAACGATGCATGCTTTTGTAGACTATTAGTGCCTGGGAGAAAGGAAATAAAATTTCAGGTTCTTCTTTAAGGACCTGCTCACGTATTCTGTCCACACATTATCACACAAATACATTCCTTAATAAGCAGGATACAGTCATGATTCCTATTTATCAATGTTTTTTTTTCCTGTGTTCTTTGAGAAGTTTTCACACATTCTAAGACAGAGAACAGAAACCCCATGTTACAGAGCAGCCAGTATTGTATCACTGTTGCAGCAACTGGGACAAATGGGTTTGACCTCTCTTCAGTGAACCCAGGTGTCCCAATCCTTTGCAATTTGTCCAGCAGCTAGCTTGCCCAAAGGGGATGATGACTGCTGTACCACCCCCCATCCTTAGTGATCCTTACTCAGTTATTGTTAAAAAATAAAAAAACAACCTACAAACCCCAGGCAAACAAATTTCTTCTTCTTTCTATTCTTGGTGCAATGCCAGGACCTGGAGAGGAACAGATCTGAATCTTACATTTATTGCATTCTTAGTAACTCTAGGTGACATGTTATGCAGTGCGCAGACTTTGAAGCAGCATAGAAAATCACCATGATAATAGTTCTGGATCTCACTGCTGAGACACCAAGGTCTGTGCTTCATCAAACCTTGATGTCAAAGAGACACCAAGAACACAGGGTCGTGTTTCTAAAGAAGCTGTCCTATCTACCCTTCGTTCCCCTGTCTCTCCCATATGCTGAGTGTTCCTGCAGCCACGTGGCAATCTAGACTGGGAAATGAACCAGCTTAAAACCCAACCCTGAACAACGCTGGTTTTAGCTGGCTCATTTCTCCAATCCAGTTCATGCTGTGGTTAAAAAGCAGTGTGCCATCCCGGGAGGGGGTGGCATGCAGCGGGGTCAGTAGGCTCGGCGGGGGTGAATAACAACTTATTTCAGTGGTGCTGCCAGCATAACATGGCTTAAAGCACTCGTCAAAGTACAGCCGCATTGT